TTCAAGACTTATTTGTTCAAAACTTCTTTATAATTTCCTAAATAGTTAAATATGAACAAAGCTTAGCAAGTATTCCCATGCTGATACACTATATTCACACAGATCAGTATTTTCGTGCTTGCTACACTATATACAAGACTTATATGTCAAATACTTCTTTTGTATTTCTTTTTTCTAATATTTAAGGGAACAAGAGGAAACCAAATATCCTCAATTATTTCAGTTCACAACTATTAACCATCTATCATCCATATTATTATCTCTCTCTCCAGGTACCTAATTTTTGTTTCAACTTCCTCTTTATTTATTATTATTATTATTATTTTCTTTCTGCGAAAGTGTTAAAAGTCATAATCTAGTCGGATCCCTAGATTATTCCGCTAACAGAGTCATCTTTTCTTTTCAATTAGGTACTGACTTTTCTACACTTTCTAATTTTTAGATGTCTGCCAATAACTCTTGCCATGCTGGTCGTCATAATCGTGGTGGTCGTTATCATCGTATTTCTCCCAATTCTTTTATGGCCACTATTCGTCATCCCTTCCGTGTTCCTCATGCTGCCCCTCCTGTTCCAACTCCTGTAGAGACTCCTGCCCCCTTCTTATGTGAACGGTGTATAGAACTAGAACATGATTTACATGTTCAAGAAAGAACCTTAAGAAGTATAAGGGAAACCAATAGAAATATTCGGCGTCAACTGGTTCGATTTACTTTCTATAGACAAAACCATCCTTTGGCAAGAACTTTACATCGATTAATTGAGGAATTTAGATGTTTAGAAGAGTTGATCAGGTCATATAGGAACATAATACATCATAAAATACTTAGAAATAGACACCCTTCCCGACATCACAGCAGTGTTTAATGTAAAATAAAATGTATATATAATATAATAAAAATCTAAAGTTTTTAAACAAAAATTAAGGATAAATCAAAGATTCATATAAACAAATAATTAATTGAATGCTATAACCTCAAACACCATCCTATTCCAAAAGTATTACCTAAGATGTTTCATGGCTGACCAGTTCTTAATCGACATATGCTATGGATTCCTATTTCTAAGAATCAAGATTGTCTACAGCTATATATGGATTCAATTAATCACTCATTTACACCAATACTTTAAAAAAAAAATAAAGTCAAAAGGTATAAAATGATAAATCAACTTTAGGAATTATTAAGATAAATAACTATCATTAAAGGCAAAATCTGAATTAATATATATATATTTTTAATTAATTAATAAAGAAATGAAAATAAACTTTAAATGCTTGTATCATTAATATCCTAGTAAATATGAAAATATGGAAGTAAATGAAATATAATTGATCTGTTGAGAATCAAAACCCAAAAATTGACTACGGTAAGCTAATTTAATGCTATCATTGCTTAAGTTCTAACTATACTAGATTATAAACTAACATCCCATCCTATCTCTCTTTATTTCGCTTTTTTTTTTTCACCATTTTCCTTTCCCCTCCTTGATCGCGAGTACTATGAGTGATCATCACACACCGTACATACCGTGATCTTTACTATTTTTTTTTTATCGGTATCAGTAACGTGGTTGCATAACTGGACCACAGTCTTTACTAACACTCTGTTGATTCCCTGTACTCTTTTAGTAGCCGTCGATTTATTGACTTTTTCAACACTTTCCCATCGATCGTACATAAACGATACACGGCATCTGATTTGATTTCATGTATGTAAAATGGGCCAATTCATTTCTGGTCCAACTTACTGCTCCGCGAATTCTCCTGGGATGCCTTATACACTAATACTTTGTTCTCTATAGTAAAACTTCTTTCGATTTGGAGCTTCCAGTCATGTCGGGTTTTTAACTTTTGCTGCGCCATGTTTACACGTATCATCGTGTTCTTCTGTTGTTGCAGCAACACCTCCACCAAATCAAAGACCCGCTATAGTATAGTCCCCTCTAATTGCTCACTGCTTCCCTGGTGATGAATCGGGGTTCGCGCTTCCCTTCCGTAGACTAGATAGAACGGCGTCATCTTCGTCATTTCTTGCTGTGCCGTTCGATACACAAACAGGGTGGATGGTATCATCAAATCCCACTCCACCACATTCTATACTAGTTTTGGGATCGACTCACACAATATGCGGTTGAATTACTCCACCAATCCGTTGGTTTGCGGATGGTATGGTGTAGAATAGAGGTGGTTGATGCAGAACTTTTCCAGAAACGCGTTCAATATGCGACTCTGGAAGTTTGCCTCTTGATCCGACAGCAAGTACGTTGGACATCTGTGTTTGCATACTATTTTGTCATACACGAACTCTGCCACCTTCTGCGCCGTTGCTTCCCCCAGGACGCGAGCCTCAGGCCACTTGATCATATAATCAGTGGCAACCACTATGTAGCGATTTTTTCTGGGGGTCACAGGCAGGGGTTCCACTATGTCGATCTCCATTTTAGCGAACGGTTCTCCAATGGGTATAGGATGGAGGGGTCCCCGCTGCTTGTTCTTCTCCCTTCTCTGACAGCGGTCGCAGGAGTACACGTACGTACGGATGTCTTTATATAGCTGCGATCAATAATACAAATTTCAGATTTTATTGAACATAACGTCCTTTCCTAAGTGCCCTCCCAGCGGATGATTATGCGTAAGGTATAATATCAGCCTCAACTCGTGATGTCATAGCACCTTTAGTAGGTTCCCCGGTCGGTGCTTATCCTTCTTATAAACATCTCCCTCCTTTACCGCGAAAAAGCTACTTTGTGCCCATATCTTCCGGGCTTGTTGCCGCGAGCATCCCATCGGCAACCGTTGTTCTTGTAGGTATCTTTTTAGCTGTATGTATCATTTTTCGTCCATCGCGTTTCTAGATTTTTTTTTTTTTTTTTTTTTTTTTTTTAGCCAGAACACTGGAACCTGGACTGGATTCTGTTCCTTGGATTTCTCGTTTCATTTTTTTTTTTTTGATGTTGTATCAATTGCCATCACGTATTGCTATTGTCATTGTCATTTCGTTGTTTTATTATCGCTGTCGCTTTTCATCTCGTAGTGGTTGCCGTCAGATTCTACGGTAATGGTTGAGCGAATCAAGATTAGTGGCGCCCTCTGCAATGTTCTGATAAGTTAAGTTCTTGTTCAGTGGTCCAAGTAAGTCAGACTCTTCATCTCGACTTCCTGCCTTCACGTCGGTGGTGCTACTTTCCCATTTCTCCTGGACAGTTAAATGAGATAATGCATCAGCATTCGAATGCTTTCGTCCTGAGCAGTGGACTATTGTATAGTGATACGGCTGAAGACAGAGGATCCATTGCGCTCTTCTACCCTTTAGCTTGAAAGTTTCCAGCCACTTGAGTGCGGAGTGGTCAGTTATCACCACGAATGGTTTCGTGCTGAGATAGTGGTGGAAATACTCAATTCATATATTACGGCTAGACACTCCTGCTCCGTCGCAGCATAGTTCCTTTCGACCTTCGTCAAACTTCTACTGGCGTATGCGATTGCATACTCCCTTCTTGCGTCATCGATCTGCACCAACACAGCCCCTAACACCATCCCAGATGCATCGGTGTGCAGGTAAAATGTTTTTTCAAAATTCAGATACCGGAGAATTGGGTCGGTCGTCAGGTGGGTTTTCAATCATTCAAATGCTAACTGTTGCTTATCTGTCCACTCATACTGTGCATTCTTTTTGAGTAATTGATGCAACGGTTTGACTATCGTCGCGAATCCACTAATAAACCTCTGATAGTAAAAGGCAAGCCCAATAAAACTTCATAGTTGCCTCATGTTCCCTGATGCTGGAAAGTCTCTTACCTTCACTATCTTGTTCTCGTCTGGCCGGATGCCATTTTTCCCTACGACAAGGCCTAGAAACCCTACATTCGGTAAAAAAAACTTACATTTTTCCACGTTCAACCTCAACGAGGCCTGTCGTAGCTTTCTAAAAACACAAGCCAGATGACTAGTGTGTTCCAGAAACGTCCACGAGTACACAATGATGTTATCGAGGTATACGGCCACGAATTTGCCAATGTAATTGTAGAGTATCTTGTTCATCAGTCTCTGGAATGAAGCTGAAGTGTTGCATAGCCCGAATGGCATCACTTGGAATTCGTACATTCCAAACTTTGTTATGAAAGCTGTCTTCTCGCAGTCTCTCTCCTGGACTCACACTTACCAGTATCTACTAGCGAGGTCGAGGTTTGAGAACCACTTTGCTTGCCCAAGAGCCTCGATTAAATCGTCGATTCTGGGTAAGGGGTGCACGTCCTTTTTGATTACTGCATTTAACTTTAGATAGTTCACACATAGGTGGCGCTTACCATTCTTTTTTGGTACCATTATGATTGATAATGCCCAGGGGCTCCGTGATTCTAGTATCAGGCACTGGTCTCTCATTTTCGTCAGCTCCCCCTTTACATATTTGTGCTCATCCGGAGCCAACCTATAGGGCGCTTGCTTGATCGGTTTCGCGTCGCCCGTATCAATTTCATGTTGGATCATGTCAGTCTGGGTAAGTTCATTTAGCTCTTCGGCAAATAATCCTTTTTCTCTCTCGAAAAGTTTTGCTGTGTCTTCTCGTTTCTCTTCTGTCAAGCCAATCAGGTCCACCCTCGGTTTCTCATCCTCATACTCCTCGTTATTCTCTAACATTGGTATCTCCTCTAGGACGGTCAGATATACTGCTGGGCTCGGAACTTCTTTGTCCATCGTTTCTTCCTCCTCGAACCGTTCCCCTATATAATACCCTTTCTTCTCTTCTACATTCTTGTTCTCATACTTCAACTCGTCTAAGGTATCTTCACTCTCGTTATCACTTACTTCCAATTCGTCAGGCCACGCCAACCCCTCTATGCCGTTGTGTAAGATCGGTACCTCCAGTTCTTCCCCTCAATACCTCAACAGTATTTTCCGTTTGTCGAAGTGGATCCTGGCATTCCCTCTTTGGAACCAGTCAGTTCCGAGTAATAACGTCTCATCTCTGAACTCTATGACCCTTAGTGTCGTGGGGATGGTTACTTCTTGCACCTTTATACCTACCTCTTTTACTTTCCTAGGGTCCTCTTTCTTGTTCCATTTGCAGTGACGACGACGGAGGTTGACTTCTCATTAATTTTCAACTAAAGTTTGTCCAACAATTTTTTCGTAACGATACTTACCGCTGCCCCTGTGTCTAGGGTAGCTATTACCGTCTGGTTTCCAATCCGCACATAGCATTTAGCTGCGGTTGTTTTAGGAGTATCTATTGAGTTCACTTGGTTTTATTCCGCTGGGGATTTTGCCCGTTTTAATATTTTCGAAAGGTTGCGCCGCTGGTCGGTATACTTCAGTAGTTGCCCGTAAGTTGCGTTTGTTTTCATGAATAGGATGTCCTCTGAGATGTCATACGGATTTAACAAATCCACCACTGATGGTAACATTTTTCGTTGCGGCTTCTTAGTGGCTCCCATTGCTTTGGGAGGCTCCACAATCACCATTGGCTCCTGTGTCCTTATATATTTTGGTGCTTTTTGCGACTTGTCTACGCTTTTTTCCTCTGGGCATCTCGGTCGGCCCCTCTTTTTCACTATCAGCATGGTGGTCCCCAGGGTGTATGCTTTCTCTTCTTCTTCTTCGTATTCTTCTTCGACCTTTTCCTCATAACAATATTGCACCTGCGGGGTCACAGTCTTCGGAGGTTCTTTAAATACTTTTCCTTCAGGGTATCGTCGAGCTATATGGCCCTCTTTCTTGCAACTGTAACAAACTAAGCTCTTTCTCTCTTTGTTTTTCTACTCTTGTGACGGTTTTCTCCTCAGATTCGAGTGACTTAAAGTAAGCTCTTTGATTTGTCTTTCGAGTCTCTCTATGTTAGCTTCTAGTTATTTCGTTGTATCTTTTGCTCTTACTCGGGTTTGTCATTTGTAGTAGTTTTCCACTTCCACTTTCCGCGCCGCCGCGATGGCCTCTGCTAAGTCTTTCGACGATGTCATGGTCACAAATGTAGCAGTGTTACCCTTCAGACCGTTTAGAAATATCCTTATGACATAATCACCTGGAATCGTTCCTTTCGGGTCCACCCTTATAAGTAAGCGTTTAAACTTCGTCACGTACCCATCCACTTTTTCATCACTGCGTTGGCTTAATTCATTCAACTCTATTTGCCACCTGTGCCACTTCTTCAACGTGGTGAAATGTTCTATGAGTGTGTGCCAGAAATTCTATGTCACCTCTGTATTGTCTTTCCACATGGTAATTCTGGCTTTGTTTTTCTTGTACCAGTCAGCTGCTAAGCCTATCATATATCCCGGAGCCACCCTAAGTTTTTTCTCGTCTTTTCAGTCATTGACCTCTGCTACTCTTTCGAACTCCTCCAGCCATTTTACCGGATCATCGTTTTCTTCCCCGGCGAACGCTTTTGCCCTTGTTGGGTCTGTTTCTCGTATCCCATTTGACTTGTTACTATATCATCCAGAGACCGAAATACACCTTGCATCAACTGTTAAAACTGATTATCATTCATTTTCTTGATCCACGTGATGAGTATTCTTCAGCCGTAGCTCTTGTTCGTTAGTTCCCTATATGCGTGTCACGACTTTTTTTTTTTTTTTAAATAGTTATTTTATATTTAACTAGGTTTTAAATATTATGTTATATTGTTTATATAATATAATTTAAATATTATGTTATATTGTTTATATAATATAATTTAAATATTATGTTATATTGTTTATATAATATAATTTAAATATTATGTTATATTGTTTATATAATATAATTTAAAT